CAAGGGGGCCATGGCGCAAGTCTGGAAAGCGCTGGGCCAACCTAGGCGCAAGGGTCTGCGAGGACCCGGGGCCGGCAAATCGCACGGTTTCCCGCAGGTCGCACCGGGCCCGCAAACCCGACAAGCAGCCGCATGGGCCCCACAGGCCCCACAGGTCGCACAAGCCCCATGGGACCTATACGTCGCACAAGCCCCACGGTTCCCACATGTCGCACAAGCCCCACGGGCCCCCACTTATCCCACAAGCCCCGCAGACCGCGGCGCGCGTGGGTCGGGGGCCCAGGCGCGCGCGGCCAGGCACCCGTGGCGCGCGAGGCTCGGGGCCTGCGACGCTTTGAACCGACCGAAGCTCAAGGGGCTCCCGGAGCTCGGGATCGACGAGGCTGCACGCTCTGCGAGGGCACGCCCTCGCTTTGCGCCGCCAGTAATGCACGCGGGCGGGCGCGCCATGGCTCCCGCGGCGCGCGCGGGCGGGCGCGGCCGAGCGCCCGCGGCCCGCGCGCGCGGGTGCAGCCAGGTACTTGCGGCCTGCGGGCGCGCGCAGCCAGGCGCGCGCGCGCGCAATGCACGGGCGGGCGCGACCAGGCACCCGCGGACCGCGTGGGCGGGCGCAGGCAGGCACCCGCGGCAGATGCGCCAGGGCGCGCCCGGGCGCGCATAGGCGGTGCTGCGGGTGGCCGCAGCCACCCGTACGGTTCCCACGCGGACCCCCGCGCCCCCCCCCCGGTGGCTCGACGCAGCCGCCCGCCCCGCAGGGCGGGTTGTGGGGGGAAACAGCTGTCAGGGCTCCCCCGGACACTCGGAGGTTTTTTTTCTAAAGTGCGTCCTAATGCTCGAGCACGGCAAGCGTAGACGCGAAAATGACTTGTGCGTTTTCTCGAAAGTGTGCCCGCGTTCGAAATCGCATTCTGCCTTTGCGGGCATGAGTGTCTCGGCGAGCGAGGTGGACTTTTGTTTTCCGGGCATGAGTGTCTCGGCGAGCGAGGTGGACATTGTTTTTCTTCGACGTCGCAGTTTCGGAGGAAAAATGAAACGTACGTCGCAGTTTCGGAGGAAAAATGAAACGTACGTCGCAGCTTCGAGCCCAAATGGCGACGTCGCAGTTTCGGCCTCAAAAAAAAAGTTGGGCGCGCGAGGTGTCTCGAGTGTCCTGAGGAGCTTTTTTTTCCTGTGCGCGGAATGTCCGGCGCCACGAAAATGCATTTTACTCCTATGCGTTGCGCGACGAAGCCCTCTCGAGACTCCTGTGGTTCCCCCGTCCAGGGCGTTCGAACGCGCGCGGACAAACGCGCCCTCTCGTTGGCCGCGACAGGCCGCAGGAGGCCGCGCGAGGCCGCGCGCCCGTGCGCGATGCCAACTGCACCGCCGCCCCTCCGCTTCGCGCGCTGCACGCCAGCGGAGTATGCGCGACCCGCAGCGCCTCCTCGGCCGGCGTCAACACGGGGTCTCCAGCCAGCTCGCGCGCCCCCTGGCGAACCAGTCGAGCCCGCCTTCCACGGGGCCGCCTCGCTCGCGGCGGCCCGATGCGGGGGCGTGCTTTCGACTGCGCGCGACCGAAGCACAGCTCCTGGACACCGAACCATCGCGCCGCCATGGGTCCAGAAAAGAAGCGTGGGAGTGCTCTCGCTCGCGGCGCGCGCGCCTCGCCGTGCCTTCGCGCGCGCCAAGCCGTCTACGCAGTTCGCGCCGTCGTTGCCATTGGCCGCGCGCTCGAGGCCACCCGCGCGGCGCGCGGCATCTTCGGCGCGTTTTCCAGGCGATGCGCGGCTTGAACGCGTCGCGGCGACGCCCAGAAGTCGCCGCGCGCGCGCCGCCGCGCGCGCGCGACTGCGCGTCGCGCATTTCGCCGCGCGGTTGGCTTAGGACAACAGCGCGCTAAGTCGAAAATGGGAATTGAACACGCGCCAAATGCCAATGTCAGTCCCCAGACCCGCGAGGCGAACTCTTGATTTGGGAACCGCGGACCTCGCTGCGCGGTCGACGCCGCGCGCGCGTAGCTCCTCGTGCAGGATTGAAAACGCCTCGCGCCCAGCTGACATCCAGGATCGCAAACCTGGGCGCCGGTTGTGCTTCCAAGCCAAGTTGGCAACTTGACCGCGCCGACAACGCAGCACTTGCCATGGGAACGCGGCCAAGCGCGTTGCACCGTGCCTCTCTTGGCGAAACTGCGAAAACACACACGCACACTTAAAGTTGCGAGTCGGGGCCGCGCTCGTTAAAGGCGTACTTCGGTTACCAGACAACCGAACTTCTTCATTCCTGCGAGGCAGACCTTGTCATGCACGCGCCGCCACGCGCGCCCTCTGTGCACTGGGCACCTCGTGTACATGTGGAAACCGCGCTTAAGTTGGCATCGGGAACGGACGACAGTCACTACATGGAACCATTCAGCTTTCAAAGCAATATGGCTCGATGAGTCTGTACGGCTATGTACAGGATGGCCGTGCGAGCCAGTGCACGCGCGAAAATCAACAATAGCTTTCTTGCGCGCCAATGCAAAACGCTAGTTATTATGACAGCGTGGCGACTTATGCGTTCCCACCCAGTGAAGACACCGCCGCGCGCGCACCGCCCACGTCCTGCGCGCTCGGTGCATACAAAGGGGGCGCAAAAACGTCATGCGAAATTCTCAAAGACTTTTGGGCGCGAGAATGTAAGATTTGAGTTCCCGCGCAAAGGTGGCGACTTCTGCGCTTCCACTGTGCACGAGCCTGCCATGCAGGCGCGCTGATGCGCGCGCGGGCGACGCGTGTCACGCCCGAAAGCCGCGCGGCGACCGCTAAAGGTCTAATCTAGTTTCCAATCCACCATGGCCGCGCCCTCATTTCCAAAATTCAAGATCCAACGCGCGAGCGGCCAAGTTCCCAGACAAAATAAGGACATCAAAAACCTATGCATGTTCCGCCCCTTTTGCTGGCAACAGCCTTCCGAGGCTTCACGATGGCTCCAAGATGGACCAAGAGAGCCCCTGGTGTCCCCAGAAGGACCCCGGATATCTCCAAGACGGTCCCCCCAAGCGCCCGGGAGCGTCCCAAGAGCGCCCCAAGAGGGCCCGGATGGCTTGCGGGGCTCGAGGGGTGTGGGGGCAGGCTAATTGAAAACACCTCCCTCTGGCTGATCGATGTCATTCAAGATGGCCCCAAACGTGCCTCCAAAGCCCCGAAGAGGATACTGAGTTTCGCCCGTGACTTGACGGGTGCCGCTTTCTCTCTGTTGTTGAGGGCCATGAACCAAAGCAGCTGAGGGCACCGCACAACGCGATCAGACTCGGGAGCAAAACAAACGAAAACAAGGCCAGCCACACAACGCCATCGAAATCATCTTGACAAGCAAGCGCTTGCGCTATGTACATTGAAGACGCGCTCGAACCGGACACAGCAAACCGAACCTCTGGTTGTCTGCCACCAGGGAGGGGTCATCCGACTGATGTTTATTGCCAGCCCTGTGCTAACAACAACGCGTTCAGCTTGCCAAGCACCGTCTACGGATGTTGAAACAACAAAATCTACATTCGGCCCCCTCCAAAGCAGAAAAAAAACAATGGAAGCGAGAATTTACTGTGCGACGGCATGACTCTTTTCGCCTACAAGTGTCCTAGCCAGTTCGCATATGATAAAATGAATTGCATAAAATACAGATGCGTGTGCACGTCGACGCCGTACCAAAGTTGCGATTTGAGCTGCGTGTCCCAAAAAGCGATTGGGACCTTTTGGTAATACCACCCAAAAGTCGCCCCTGCCATTACCCAGCATGAGGGCCCAATAGACAGGGGCGGACGCAGCCCCCCAGATGAAGCCAAAAGATACCCCAGAAAAACACTCCAAACATAACCAGAATGGGTCAACAAAAATCGTCCCCAGGGTATTTTTGTTCGACTGCTTGTGAATCTTCCCCCCTGTGGGAGGGGCAGGCCCGACCAGGCCCCAGCCATCACTCCCCCCCCCTTGGGCCGCCCCCGAATCTCCCCCCCGAGCGATGCCCGTCGGCCAGCCACGACCCGGCCCTCCCGCGGCCGCTCGGGACGATGCATTGGGCAGCCCCAGGACGCCCTGGAGGCGATACCGAATCGGATCGGCATGGGCCCTGCCCTCTCCCCCAGGAGGAGGAGGGGGAGGAGGAGGAGGAGGAGGAGGAGGAGGAGGAGGAGGAGGAGGAGGAGGAGGAGGAGGAGGAGGAGGAGGGGGAGGAGGAGGGGGGAGGAGGGAGGAGGGAGGGAGGGGGGGGGGGAGGAGAAGGAGGAAAGGGAGGAGGAGGGGGTGGAGGAGAGGAGGCCGGAACGCCGTCTGGCGCCACAGCGAGCACGCCCGAGTCTCGCACCAGCTCGTGTGGGTCTCCCACGCCATCTCGGTGCCTCTACGCCAGTCAGCGCCAGTGGGCACGGATCGACGCCAGGTCAACGCTGAATCGACACCCATCGACGCTGACCCTGCGCTACCTCATCGATTGGCAGACGCTGATCGAGGCGAAGGGAGTCTGCAGACGGAATCGCGAAGGTACGCAAGGCTCCCATGATTTGCTATACCCAACGAACGTCGATTCTCCCAATTCCCTCTTCAGACAAAAAGTGCCCTCAGATGTTCAATACGGGGTTCCCAGAGGTCCCGACCCTTTCCCCAGGGCCGGCTTTTCATCACGGGCAGCTAGCTGTTCGGCGCCCCCGAGGCCTGGCGGGGACCCCTAGATGCCGAACGAGTCAAAACAACAACAACAACAAAAAACGACCGTTGCGTTTGTTTCTAGACGCGAGCATGTCGAGCATGTCTGGGGCGTCGTCCCCCCCCCCTCAGCCTAATTACCGCCCCCTGACGTTGCCCCTGAGTGACGGGGCCCTGGGACACACAAATGAATAGACACAATACCAAGATTCCCCACATTTTCCCATATCTTCTTGGTTTCCCGTATTTTCCAATCTTTTCCTGGGAATCGATGATTACTTGTGTCTGTGTGTTTTTCCCTCCTGACTAATTACCACCCCCTGACTTTGCCCCATGAGGTCCTGCAAGATCAGCAGAGATGGGCCCTCGCTCCGCATGGCGCGGTGGAACGTCTGCATGGAGACGCCGTGGAACCGCGGAGAGTAGACAAGCCTCAGGGCACCGTAGGCGGGGACTGCGATCAACTTATGTTGCTCCCATCGTATTCAAGGACCACATCCCAGAAATAAGTTCGAGCACCCGGAAAAGTATCGCGAGAGTGTCGAAAGAGTGTCGAAACAGCGTCGGGCGAGTGTCTCCCAGGGCCCGATACGTGAAAATCCTCGAGTTTCTGTATTTTTCTGGTGCTCGACATTCTTTCTGGTGATCAAGGCTAAAGTTAGGTCGGGCCTGCCCCTCTACAAGGGGATCTTGGACGGAAAACTAAAAATAAAACAAACAATGTCCAAGCATACATAAACATTGTCAAACAAACCGTCCCCTTACTATGATTTGACTATTTTTAAGAATTCCCCCTGTAGAGGGACAGGCCCAACTCAAGGCTAAATTAGGTTGGAACATCAGAATGATCAACCAGGACACTGGCGATGGCAGGGCTCGGGCCCTTCAAGGGGCCCAAGGACACACAAATAAAGACACACACAAATGGAAGGAGTCCCCCCCATTTTCCCACAGGTGCTGGGTTTTTTCGCCTTCCCCCCCGCTTCCCATCCTTTCCCGTGTCTTCCCGGGGGGTCGACGATGAATTGTGTCTGTGTGTTTTTTCCCCTCCTGAAGTGCGCGGGGGGACTGTGATGAACCAGGACGCTGGCGTTGGCAGGGCGCCGGGCTGCGCACCGACGGGCCCCCCGGGCAGTCCCAGCTGGCCTTGGCAGGCCCCTCCCGGCAGTCCCAGCTGGCCGCAGCAGGCCCCCCGAGGAGCCCCCGGCGGTCTCCACACCAAGGCGCCGCCTCTGGCGGCGCCCCTGGGGCTGGAGCGTCGAGACCGCCCTTCAAGGGGCCGCCCAAAGGCACACACAAGACACACCAATGGCAGGAGCCCCCCTATTGTCCCACAGGTTCTGGGTCTTTTCGCCTTCCCCCCCCCCCCTTCCCACCTCTCCCCAGGCTCTCCTGGGGGTCGACGATGAAGTGTGTCAGTGTGTTTTGGGCGCCCGAGTTATCCGGGGTAACTCGGGCCCGGGGTAACTCGGGTGCGGATTCCCGAAACACGAGCCCGAGTTAGCCCTGACCCGAGTTACCCCTGATGATTCGGGGCTCTGGGTGCTTCTGTCCCCTCCCGAGCCCTGGACTGCTCGGGGGGGCCTGTCGAGGCCAGCCGGGGCTGCTCGGGCGGGGCCTGCCGAGGCCCGCCGGGGCGGACTGCCTGGGGGGGGGGGGCTGCCCGTGCGCCGCCCGAGGCCCGAAGCCTCGCCGCACCGGCGCGCCCGAGGAGACTGCAGCCAGTTGTGGGGCAGGGGCCGACCGTCCCGGCATCCATATAGTCCTACCACGACGCGTTCTTAAACAACCCAAGAAGTGTTCTGACAACCAAAACCATGCAAACACCGTGTTCTCGGAACCCAAACATATTATAAAACAACGACGTGCTATAACACACCAGGCTCGACCAGAAATGTTCTAAAGGCATTTCGTGGAAACCTCAAAAGGTGCTTAGAACATGTTTCGGGAGGCCTATAGGCACGCCAGGACGCTTCGCCACTGCTTGAAGTTCGGTCGGGCCTGTCCCCCTGCAGGGGGGATTGTGGGCGGAAAGCTAAACATAGTCAAAACATATCCCACAAATACTCAACACTAGTTTGTTTGTGTTTTGTTTGATGTCTATCTTTTTATTATATGAAATATACAAGAACAAAAACGTCCCCTGACTATTTTTGACTATTTTTGAATTTCCATCCTGTAGAAGGGCAGGCCCGACTTAGAGCCAGAGAATCGAAACCTCCTCCGTTCTTCTAGCCTGGCCACGGTTCTCAAAACCCTCGCTTGATGCAAGAACGAAGCATGCACTCAAATCTATAGTTGGGTCGGGTATGGCCCCATACAAGCGGACTCTGGACGAAAAAAACATAGTAAAAAACCACGCGAATGATCCAACATAGTCGAACAAAAATCGTCCCCAGAATATGTTTTGACTATTTTGGAGTATCCCTCCTCTAGAGGGACACGCCCGACTTAAACCTGTAGGGAGGAGAAACCTGGAGGGGCAAGAATGTGAAAGCGCTACGGGAGTATGGGTGCGGGATGTCGGACGTTCGAGCCGGGACACCCTTCCTACAACACGCACCCGTGGCCCCCACGGAATCCCTGCCTCCTCCTCCTCCTCATCCTTCTCCTCCTCGTCCATTCCTTCTCCTTATAGATAACTTCTCCCTGTCGCACCCCGAGGCAAATTGTTAGGGCGGGCCGGCCGTTTCGCCTGAGACTTCCTCACCATTTAGGGCTCTGGAGCATAAAAAGTGTCAACCATTTCACAGATGGAAGGCGGGCCGTTTTCAAAATGTGGCTCTCGCATTAGAGCCGCGCACATTCGTTTTAAACATTTGCAAGAATTTCATGGATTGACAGGCGGGTCGTTTTCAAAATGTGGCTCTCGCCTTAGCGCCGCGAACATTCGTCTTCAACATCTGCAAGTGTTCCACGGATTGAGGGCGGGTCGTCTTCAAAATGTGGCTCTCGCCTAAGCGCCCTGCACATTCGTTTCAAACATTTGCAAGAGCTTCACTGGCTGAGGGCGGATCGTTTTCAAAATGTGGCTCTCGCCTTAGCGCCGCGAACATTCTTTTTTTTTAAAAAAAATTGCAAGAGTTTCACATATTGAGGGCGGTTCATTTTGAAAATGTGGCGCTCGCCTTTCCGCCGCGCGCATGGGTTATGAAAATCTACAAGAGTTTTTCACGGGTTCCCATGATCAGCGTACCAGAAATTCTGTTTTGGAAGAATACAGGACTATGCGGGCGCAACCGTTATGTTGTTTCGCGGTGTTGCAGTCCAAAAATGGCGTTCTGGTACGGTTCTGGATCGTCAAGACGCAACAGTCAGGTTGATACGTGACGTTGAAATCCCGAGAACAATGTTTTGGCACGCTTCAGGATCTTAAAACGGTGATCTTCCAATGAGGCAGTTCCGTTGTAGGGGACTATGAAGAGGGAGCTTGGAGGGAGGGTTAATTCCAACATCGTTGATGACCCTTGGGTTTACACTGGTCCTCCTCCTCCTCCTCCTCCTCCTCCCTAGAAATGTGGAGGCTGCATATAGTGAAGCCCAAAAAAGTACCGATACCTACTCCCCGGACCCCTCCCCAGGTGTGCTCTGACCTGAATGCCGAGGCGAATATCCAGCCGTGGCGGCGAGGGCCTCCCAGGAGGCCCGCACGGGCGAAAGCGAGGGGAGGGTAGCTGTATCGGTACGGTGCGGGCGCGGCCGCAAGAAACCCTCGCAAGAAACCCAACCCTGGAACCCCGCGCGCGCGGTGCACCCGAGGGGAAACCAGGACCAACCCGAACGCAGAAGCTCCTTCCTCCGGCCGCGGGAAGCCACCGCGCAGCGCGGATCGAAGAAGCCCAGGATGCCCTGACGAAAGGCACATGGTTTCTTGATGCGCGCCCCGACTGCCCAGACATCCGGCTGCTCTATTTTTTGTTCGATGCGTGGGCCCCAGGGGTCCCGAGTAACTACCAGGGCCAGTTTTTCGCCCGGAGTCGTGCTTTGTCACGCATCGCGAGGCCCGGCGAGGGCCCCCAGAGGCCGCACTCGGCCAAACACCACCTGCCCCAATTTTTTGGGGAGCGCAGGATCTCTGGGTGCAGATTGTGTGTAGATTGTGTGTAGAGTGTGTGTGTGTGTGTGCGTGTGTGTGTGGTGTGTGTGTGTGTGTTAACCAGCCTCAAACTTATCCCCAGCCCTAAGATGGGCGAACAAAAAGCGAGGACACTCTCAGGGACAGGCCCTCAGAAACTGAGGGAATCCCAAAGATCGGCACCGAGGTGAAGTGATGTCAAACATAGGGATAGGGATATGTTTCAAAACTGGTAAGTGTGTGTGTGTGTGCCAGCGGTCAACTCATGATTGACTACCTACCAGACCACCCCAACCCAACCCGAAGACCCGAATTTCGGGTGGGGGGGGGGGGTAATTAAGGGTTCCACGTGTGTTTTTGTCGATGCTTCCCGAACCCCCCCCCCGCTGGAAACCGAGGGTAAATCTGAGTCTTCGGGTTGGGTTGGGGTGGTTTGGTGGGTGGTGAATGATGGCCAGTCGTGGCTCGCGCGCGCAGCCTCCAGGCGTGGCGCCACCGGAGGACGCCGGGCAGGTGCCGCGACAGCTCCCGGGCCACCCGCGGGCTCAGGAGCGTGGAGCGCGGCTGCGTGGGCACGCGACGCTCGGGGGGGACGTAGAGGGCAGGTTTTAATACATAGGATGTTTGATACATTGGATGTTCAATACATGATTCATTTACTCATAGATCATACATAAATTCATCGTTGTTTTTTATACTAAATCCCTTTACTTTTAATATCTGGTCCGCACGCGGGGCATGTATTAAAACCGGCGCTGTAGAGGGTAGAGGTGGGATTAGGTCGGGCGTGCCCTCCCAAAGGGGGATTGTGACGAAAAGTAACAAATATTTGACAGATAACAGAAAAAGATCAAACAAAGTCCAAAAATCGTTCCCAAGCTATTTTTTTAACATTTTTGGATAGTTCCCGTGTAGAGGTAACACGAAGCCAGGACGAGGAAAAAAACCCGGCGAGGGTGAATTCAGAAGGTCTTCGAGTTCTGGAGGCTCTGGAGGATGCCTCGGGCGTCGCGGCCTCCTCAGATCCTCGATTCATCCCCGCCCAGTTTTTTATCCTCGTCCTGGCCGCGTCCGCAGTGGGCAAGCAGCCTACTCAGAAAGCGGCGGGGCTTCTCAGAATCCCTCCGCTCGGCGGTGGACCAACCTCCCTTCAGCAAACCACCCTTTCGTGAAAACGGCACAGGGCCGACACCGACGGCCGTGGACCCGGAGAAGTGACGGCAGCGACGCCCTCTCAGAAGACCTCGCGCCTTCTGAGTAGTGGTTGCTTTTCTTCGGGAAGGCTCAGAAAACTGAGAAGGCCTGTTCCTTCTCACTTCCCCCCCTCTCTCACCGCTGAAGGGCAGGATCAATCGGCATCGAATGGCAAACTCAAATCGAATCGAAATGTGCGACGAATCGAGCTGCATCGGCACGGGGTGGAAATGGACCCGAGTCGGGTGCGCCGGGATGCACAACCAGGCCGTGCCAGCATCGGGCCGCACCGCATCGCCGGCACATCGGGATCGAAGCGGATCGGGCAGGCTGGAATCGATACCGGGTCGGGCCGATCGGATCGACACAGACCCCGTATAACAGGGGGTGTTGCAAGGGGGGGGCCAGTTCAGGGGGGAAATGTCGACCTGGAATCGGCGGTACATCGCCGACGGATCGGCGATATGCCTCCGATGGCGATTCCGCACGGTCCAGGGCGGGGCGGGCCCATCAGGCCCCTATCGGCGAACAGTGGGCGAGCGGGGGTCGATGCGGTCCCTCCCCGAGGCGATCCGCCCGTGGACGTTGCCACTGGCAGGCCGCCCCTGCCCAGCTCCAGAGGAATCGGCTGTACATCACAGATAGGTCGGCGAAGTACTTCTGATTGATCGGGTTTGAGGGGCTCGAACCGCCGGCAAGAACCCTGACCGACCCTCATCGGCTCGTCCTGAGCCCTCCTGGAGCCGCTCCCCCCACCGAAGAGACACAAAACACTTCTCAAAGGCCGAAGAGCGTCTCAGAAGTCCCGCCGCCCTCTTCCGAGAAGGCCTGCTCGCTCGCCGGCCGACCAATGCCTGCCCCTACCTACTACCGTTGCCTCTGGCCAGGACAACCGGCTGCTCCACTGGTTTCGATGCGTGGTCCCCCCGGTCTGGACCACTTCCCTGCAGGGCCCGTCTCTCGCCCTGAGTCGTGTCTGTGACGCTCCCGAGGCCTGACGAAGGCCCTGAGAGGCCGAAAACGGCCACACACCGCCCGCTCTAAAGGAGGAGGGAGGAGGAGAGGGAGGAGGAGGAGGAGGAGGAGGAGGAGGAGGAGGGAGATGAGGAGGGGAAGGAAGAGGGGAGGAGGAGGAGGAGGGAGGAGGAGGAGGAGGAGGAGGAGGAGGAGGAGGAGGAGGAGGAGGAGGAGGAGGAGGGAGGAGGAGGAAGAAGAGGAGGGGGGAGTAGGAGGAGGCACGCCAACTCGAGGAGATCCGAGCGCGCCGAGGCAGGACGAGGCACGGCCGAGCGCAGCTGGACGAGAGACAGGATGAAACGCAAACGAATCACCGAAGACGAAGCCAGAAAGGCGCGTCATCCGACGCGAGGAGTGGACGGGGGCCCCTTCCATTCCCCAGAAAGAGGATCTTTGCCCTGCTCGAGTGCTTTCAAATGAGTAGTGTCCTTACTGGATGCAATACCCGAACAACGGCCCCGGAGCCGCGAGCGCGGGGCCGACGGCTGGGCCCGAGCGCCGCACCGCCGACAGAATGCAAGGGTAGCCCCAGCAAGGACGACACAGTGCCCACGAGCACTGGCAAACTTTACGGGGCCTTGAGCGGGGAGGGGGCGGTCGGGGGGCGAGGCATCCCGAGCACCCCAGGAATCCCGCCCCGCAGGCCCGCCAGCGGTCCTGGAGCGTTTGAGGGGCGCAGGCCCCCCCACCCGACTGGGAGCAGGAGGCTCACCAGCCGAAACCAGGGGGCCCGAGTCCAAACGCGGCGCCTTCGGGCGCGGGCCCTCCAGGGCCACCCCTTCACGACTGTCCTTCTCCAGACTGGCTCCAGGGGCGGCGGATGGGGGAGGAGGGGTGGGAGGAGGGTCCGACGGCTCCGAACGCGCCTGCTTGGCCTGCCTGCAGGCCTCCTCCAACTGATCATCCATCCTCTCCTCGTCCGTCTGAAACCTCACCATCGTGAAGGACAGCTGCCGCCCAAGGACCCCATGATCCGATGGCGGCGGGCCCTCCGAACCCTCCAAGACATCATCAACCTCGAGAGGAGGGGCCTCGAGGGGACCTTCATTCGCCTGAGGCGAAAAAACCCTCTAGGCCCCAGAGGGACGCCGCCTCAGCTACTCTGCGCGCGCGGAGCCCGAGGGCCCTCGTACCTCGGGCGGACAAGGCGAAAGCCTGGCAGCGCTCACATGCGAACTTTGGTCCGCGCCTCCTCACCCTGTGGGGGTGCGCCACAGGCGCCCCCCTTCGGCGGCGGGGGCGCCGCCGCCTCCCGCGCAGCAGGCCCGCCGCAAGCGCGGGCCGCGCCAGGGGCTGCAGGTGCGCGAGGAGCAGCACCTCGAGCGGCCCAGCTGCAGCGCAGCTCCGCGCTGCGACGCCGAGGGGGGTCGACTCGATCGGGTGGCGCCAACCCCGTGAACTGAAGCCCCGAGGTAGTGCGAATCCACGTCGCCACCTGCCTGGTCTTCAAGAGGGCCAACGAATGCCTGCCCGCGACGGCCTGGGGGACATCGCGTAGCCGTCGTCCTCGTTTGATCATGGCAGCGCTTATCCCAGCAGTCGGTCTTCTGGTGGCCCTTCACGCACCTGAACATAATTGGTGCCGCCTCGCCAGTCCAGCTTGCACACCCATGATCTGCGATGCAATGATACAGCAACTTCCAGAAGTCAACTCTCTCCCTCCGAGGGTTCGTGTACCACCGCTGACCTCGACGGAGGCCTTCGATGAGAGGGAGGTAGTCCGTGTGGAATCGCAGCGGGGCGACGCCGATGGTCAAGGCTTGCACCATCGCGTGAAGCTCGGCTCGGCCTGAGGCCTGACGCGGCCCAGGAAGGGCGCCGAAGACTGCGCCAAGAGTAGGTGCGATCGCCCAAGACCGCGAAGCCCCTGCCCGCGCGAGACGCGGCATCCCAGTGCAGCAACTTCTTGCAGGATCCATCAGTAAAGACGCCACCAGGCATCACCGAAGGCTCGGAGCAAACGGCCCCGTCGCAGTGCCGGCGTCCAAAATCATCCCTTGGCGGGAGCGCAGGAAGACCAGAGTTGGGAAACACGCCTCGAGAAAATAATAAGTCACCAGGGGCCGTCCCGCGCGCAGGCTCAAAGACTCCTGAATCCACAGCATGTTCACAAACATCGCAAAGACAAGGGCAGCGCCAATACCGATGATGCAAAGACCCGGTCTCAATACCACGCACGAGGCAATAAAAGGGGGTCGCGCAAGCGTACTGATATAGCCGTTGTTGCGAAAGTGGCATCCCAAAGCCGCGGCACGAGCAGCAGCCTCAGCAACAGGATCGAGGAGCCATCTCTTTGCCTGTTGCCCTGCGTGAAGGAGTCCACGAGTAGGAGCAGTCCAGCATCCAGCAGGGTCCTTGTGACTGGGGCCAGGGATCTCCTTAGGCGTGACATCAGCGCGCTTAGACCATTGCAACCAGCCAGCCGCTTCAAAAACCTGAACCGCAAGCCACCGAACAGTTGAAGGTACAACAGCGCGCAAATCAAGCTGCCCGAACTGCTCGCCAGACCTGGTCCGAACAAGAAACGCGGGAGAACATGTCCACCCCGGGCCCGGCAGTGATCTCGAGGAAGCGCCGGCTGCGTCAGAGACCAAGCGCCAACGACCCTGCTCCTTTGCCATGGCAATCCTACGAAATTGCGATTGCCAAGCAACCTGCATGTCTCGATGAGGACTCTCGCCAGATGCCGTCAGCACAGCCCAATTGTGAATGGGGCCAACGACTGAAAGGCACGAAATTTGCATGTCGGGTGACGGGGCAAGCCGCGAGGCAATCCAATGAGAAGCGCCACCAGGTAAAGAGTCCCATCCCAACTTGGCCTGTCTCATCATGCGCTTCACGAGGTGGGGGGCAGCCCCCAACATGCCAAAGCCATAAGTGACAGCAGGCCCCACAGCGGCCCTCGCAACCATTCGATACTTGGACCCCAAAGCCAAAAGCCTCTGAAAGTGACGCGCTCGCTTGGAGACAGCTCGCCACACGGCGGCGAAGGACACGCGACCGCACAGGCTTGCCCGCTCCGGCCTCCAGCCCAAAAACCTCAAGCCAACACCTCGAACAGAATCCAAATCTCTGAAGCCTCCAAGCGACACGGGTGGCGGTGTGGTCGCGCGACCCCGTGAGCATGGCCTTGCACATGGCAGCGGGGGGGCCCAAATCCTGCAGTGAGTCACAGAGTATGGCAATAATGCCCACGGCCTGTCCAAAAATAGACTGAAGAGGGGCCAGAACCTGCACCGTGATATTGTCGGCGAAAACGCCCAGGGCGTGCGAGGTGCCAACAACAGCCTTGGCCATGGCGCTGGCTTGCACCAAGTACTCGTCGAGCGCCGTAATCATGGTGAGCTGGACCAAGGTCACGGCGAACTTGC